ATATGGGTACAAGTTCAAGAGTGGAACTACCATCATCCACCTCCTCTACATGGATGACATCAAGCTGTTTGCTAAGAGTGAACAAGACATTGCCATGCTGATCCACCTGACATGGATCTACAGTGAGGACATTGGGATGTCATTCAGACTGGAGAAGTGTGGCCAGGTGTTAGCAATGAAAGGGAAGATGGTTAAGACTGATGGGGTGGAACTATCAGCGGGCTACATAGCAGACATAGAGACCAGCTATAAATACCTTGGTATCCCACAGTCACATGGGAACCATGATGAGGCAAGGAGGACAGCAGCATCCAAGTACCACCAAAGCATAAGACAGGTCCTGAAGAGCCAGCCCAATGGTAAGAACAAGATCCACACCATCAACATGTACGCCCTGCTAGTCATCAGATACTCTGCTGGTATAGTGAGATGGCCAAAGGAGGACATGGAGACTGCCGATATGAAGATCTGGAAGCTCCTCACAATATATGGAGATTTCCACCCCAGGTCCAACACCTAGACAGTCGTACACCAGCCAGAGGGGGGTGGGCGGGGTCTGGTGAGTGTCAAAGCCAGTGTCCTGGAGAAAACCCGGAGCATTCAGGAGTACATCACTAAGATGGCACCCAAAGCTGAGCTGCTGAAACAATGCCTGAGGCAGCAGCAGACATGGGAAGAAGTTCAAACAAAGGAAGTGCCTTGGCAAGACAACACCCTGCATGGAATGTACTATCGACAGATAGCTGAGGTGGCTGACATTGAGAAATCCTACCAGTGGTTGGAAAGGGCTGGACTAAGACAGCACTGAGGCACTGATCATAGCAGCACAAGAACAGGCACTAAGCACCAGTTCCATAGAAGGAGGGGTCCACCACACTAGACAGGACCCAAGGTGCAGAATGTGCAAAGAGGCCTCAGAGACAGTCCAACACATAGTGGCAGGGTATAAAATGAAGGCAGGAACAGCATACACTGAACGACACAGCCAAGTAGCTGGCACTGTGGATAGGAACATCTGCTCAGTGTATGGGCTAGACCCCCCCAAGTCCAGATGGGAGATTCCACAGAAGGTCATGGAGAATAACAGGGCTAAGATCCT